CTGCCAAGGCCATTCTCAGTACAGTTGTTAGTATCTGCTAGACAGATGACCCGTTACAAGATAGAAGCTACCTACAATGATGACTCAGTGTTTCATTCTTTATTTCATTCTTTAATTAGGAGAAACTAGTATAGTCTTCACGTCCAGACGACAGCCTCCTGTGTCTAAGGCTACTGATGTGTGCCAAGGCCCCATTCCACAAACACACCCATGGCCTCAGCAGTGTGTCCATTTTCCAGGCACTACCCCTCAAACCTGGAAGATCGTATTAATAGGCAAGAAATGCCTGATTTAAAAAAATATATATTGTGAACATAAACACCAAAGAACATTTCGATGTGCTCAGTAGAACATGAACAGGATTCCTTATGAAAGCATAAATCTTCATTTCATGCCAACTGCCTTTACCCACATTACCCAAGAGGAGTGTCCATGTAGAACATTTCTGGACCCCAACTTCCTGGGTAGAGAAAGGGAATCTTCACTTCCCCCACACCATGATTCCTGGGAAAGGAACTTTATTGGGCATCACTAACCTTGGGTCATGCCTGGTAAGTAATTCCACATTTAATAGTTTGGTGATGTAGCATTCTAGGGAATGGACAGTCCTTAACAGTGTGACTCTTGGGGAAGAAAACAGGCTTTCCCATGTTCCATCCCCACCCCCAACCCTAGCTGGAGAAGCAGTAAGGAACTAAAACCACATCTTAAAGGAAACAGGAGCATTGGACTTACCCTTCAGCTATTACTGAAGGTGGTTCAGATAATACAGATCTGATGGGGAATTAGCTCAGCAGCCCCAAAGTCTTTATATCTGGCAGGAGGATTCCAAAGAAAAGGATGGCACTATGAGCCTTGGGGGTGGGGGTGGAAGGGACCCCAAGCGAGAGAAGGATTTCCCTGGAGTGTCAATGTGTTACCTCAAGTTCAGTCCCTTCTGAGGCGGGGCCACATGGTGCAGTGAAAAGGTTGATGGACTTGGAGCACTGAATTTTTAATTTTAGGATCTAAGTTCAAATTCAAACTCTGCTATTTACTATATAAAGGCTTTATATCTAACTATCTATCTATCTGTCTCTTTCTCTGGGCCTCAATCTCCTCATCCATAAAATAAGGGTGTTGGACTAGATGACCTTTAAAGCCCCCTCTGTTTCTGTGATCCTATAGTGAAGGAAGGAAGCAAACATTACATGTGCTATGTACTAAGCACCGTGCTACCTGCTTTACAGATACCATCTCATTCGACAGAGTAACCCTGGAAGGTAGGTACTATTATTATCCTCATTTTACAGTTGAGGAAACTGAGGCAATCAGAGGTTCAGGGACTTGCCCAGGGTCAAACAGCTAGTAAGTGCTTGAGGCTGGATTTGAATTCAGGTCTTTCAGATTCCAGGTCCAGAGTTCTGTGCACTGCGCCACAGCCCCATTCCCCCCAACCCCGACTCAGCTGCCCAGTGCCTAGTAAGCACTTCACATGCTGTCTTTATCTCACTATGGATTCCTGTGAGTATTTTGCTGCTTTTGTTATTTTCTGTAAAATAAAGACTGGCCTTTACCTGTATTATCTCCTGTTACCTTGGATATTTCATGGGAATCAGGGACCCTTTTACACACATTTGTGGAAAACTAAGTATGCGCTATAGCTATGTACAGAATGGCAAAGGGTGGTCCCATGGTCGTCCCCCTCATGCATGGAACTTATGGGTTGTTTTGAGTATTTGATGCATTTCTGAATGCTTAATAAGTGCTAATTGGTTGAAGTTTAACTCAAGCAAAACAATTTAATTTAATATCCTCCCCCAATTACAGGTAAAAACAATTTTAACATTCATTTTTTTTCAAGTTTTGAGTTCCAAATTCTCTCCCTCTCTCCCCTTTCCCCCACATTGAGAAGGCAAGAAATTTGACATACACGTGCAGTTTCAAGCAAACCAATCTTAACAAGAAGGATGAAGGAGTCCAGAAACCACCCAGGCAGCAAACGCTTTTCAAAAGCAAAGATAAGCTGAGGGCCCACCAGATTAGGGCACAAACACCCTTGAAAACCTCCAACAGCACATCATGGGAAATCTCTAGGAGTCACCAGAATGCCTACAAATGTGACGTGAAAGAGTTAGACAGAGATGCAGCTAAGCCCAGTAGCCTCCAAAGCATCTTGAGATGAACCCAGGACGGGGCTCATGATGCAGACCGTGGTGGTGTAGGTGATGGTCAAAACCCTGGATGAGCCAGTGACTTTCTAGGATTATTGTGAGGATCTGATGAGATACTATTTGTAAAGCACTTAGTACAGCGCCTAGCACACACTAGGCATTCAATAAGTGCTTATTTCCAATCATGTGAGCATCATGGCAGACACCCTACACAACATTCAAATGAATGGCGAGGTTTGACAGCCTACTAAGAGACATCACCAGCAGCCTGGCTGCTGGGAGAATGTTTCTTTTTTGGCCACAGTTACCCATGAAACAGAGAAATACAAAATGGCCTTCATTACTTTAGTGCCCCGTAATATTTTTGGAGGGACTGCAGTAGATGAATGGAAATGGAGCTCACGATGCTAAAGATCCATTTCTAGGCCACCTAGAAATATTAAGTTAGCTGTTACAACTTTGAATACCACATCCTTGACCAATGAGCTTCGTGGGGAGGCAGATACAACAAGGGTTTTATCATCCTCTGAAGGGAGCAGGGAACTTCCCTCACTTCATGGGAGACCCTGGGCCATTTCTTATTTCGGTGCTCACAACAAACATCTGTCAATCATTACAGTTTACATTCCAGTATCTGATGCAGAGGATAAAGATGAGAGAAATTCAGTGAAGAACTCCTAAGATCCTCCAAATGAAATGAACATATACTTTAAAATGGAGTGAATCCTAATCTCAGTCACAGAAATGGAAAGGACCTCAGCATCGACTAATCCATCCCGCAGCATAACTTCGATGCAAATGTGAGCATCAGGACAGCATTAAAAAAAAAAGCAAACTGTTGGGAAATATGTTCACAGAGTAAGAAATTAAAGAGGCAGAAGTCTTAGAGATTGATGTGGATGCACAGGGAACTCACCAGGCAAAGTGAGTGATATTTGAAGAAGAGATCCACAGAACATAGAAGCAAGAACAAGAAATAGGTGATGAAAATGATAGAGCAGTAATGTTCTATATACACAAAGGTGTCAAGAACACTGAAGCTCAGAACGAGTTGAAGCTGGGCAGAGAAGCAGATGAGGTTGGTAAGGACAAATGGGTGGAGTCTGTTCTTAGATCTGTCCAGAAAAGAGGAGGATAAAAGAAGGGAAAGGACCATGGCTTGGGACAAGGATAACTGACACCAAAGAGAAGGCACAGCTGCCTTATACATTTTTTTGCTTCTGTTTTCCTGGCTATGGAAAATGGCCTTTGCCCTGGCAATGACAAATGTGGCTAACAGTGACATCCAAGATAAGTGAGGAGATAACGAGGCAGCCCCCACCAGATGGCCCTTGATGAATTCAAGTCCCCTGGCCCAGATGAATGCCATCTTTAGGCACTGAAAGAACTGGCAGACAGCGGCTGTGCTAAATCATTCTCAGTGAGCTTCAAGAGTGTGGAAAACTGGAGAGGTACAGACTGCGGAGAGCCAAAGGTTTGTCCACATTTTCAAAAACAAAGAAGTGAACAGGGTTTGAAAACCACAGGCCGGAGATTTTAATTCCTGGGAAAATTCTGCCATCGATCATTAACACGATGGTGAGTGAGCGCTCAGAAAAAGAAGGGGTGATCGATCACCAAGAAGCAGGACGGGCAATCGATGGGATGTGGGCTAATCGGATTTCCACTTGTGAAAGGGTCACTTGATATATACCTCTATGTGCATATACATGTATGTATGTATGTATAGGTATAGGTGTGTCACATCATTGTAGTGTCTATTGGATTAGATACAGCCATCTCTGTGGTAAATCCATCAGGTTCCTTAGGGTGTGCAGATGGAAATCGCTCGTCTCTCGTGCAGACTGCTTCGGTGGCCAGGTCTGACCCCCTCCCGCTGACCGCTCGGACCTAGGCTGGCTGGACGTGTCCGGCCGGACCGCGGCCTGTCCGCTGCACCCCGGCCCCCGCAGCCTGCGCCGCCTCTTCAGGGGAGAGCTCTGACCGGGCCTCCCGGAGGGATGCTGGCGGCCCCTTCTTCTGGACTGGTCTGCGGGCGGCGGGGTGCGGGAGGGAAAAAGGGGCGCGGCTGCAGGACGGTCAGGAGGGGCGTGGGAGGCCTGGCTCCTGATGGAGAATGCGGGGCGAGGCCGAGCAGAGGGTGGATGGGCTGTACCCCCGAGGCCCCCCCAGAGGCCCCCGCGAGGCCCCCCCAGCGGCCCCCGCCGGGCCCTGCGCTCGGGGGACGCCCCCCTTCTCCGCTCTACGCCGCACATGGAAGCTCTGAGGGCGGACGCCCAGCCCACGGGCCTCGCGGACCCCGACGGACGCTGGGCACGGAGGAGGGCGCTGGAGGGGGCTGGAGGGGGGAGGGTCTGCCCCAGGGCGGGGCGGGGTCACAGGCACCATTGGATCTGGGGGAGGGGGGGCCTGGGGACCTGAGAGGATGGAGGGGGCGGGGTCTGGACAGTGACGGGGAAGGGGGGGCGCCCAGGGTGAGAGGGCGTGGCCTGGGGGAGGATGCTGGGGTCAGAGGGGGAGGAAAGGCGCGGGGGCTGGAGGCGGGAGATGTGGGGGAGGGGTGCCCGAACCCGAGCAAAGGCGGAACGGGCCATCAGACGTGCCCTAGGGACAAAGGACGGGAAGCAGGACTCGGGGCCTCGCGGCGTCTACAGAGTAAGCCTCCGCAGGCCTCCAGGTCGCTCGCGCCTGCGCGGAACCCTCGCCCCGCCCCCAAACGCCCCGCCCCCCAGCCTACTCCGAGCAGCTCGCCTCCCTGTCCGAACTACATTTCCCATAAGGTCTTGCGCAGCTAAGACCGCATCTCGAGGGTGAGCGAGACTCGAACACACATTACTTCCGCTTCCGGCGGCGAGTGTTTGGTGACTGTGGCTTCCTGGGTTCTGCTGCAGTCGCCGCAGATGAGTCCCGCGTCCTGGGCCGGGGTGAGTGAGGGGTCAGGGCCGGGGGTCTGGGCCGGGCGGAGGGGAAGACAGGCCGCGGCCGGCCTGGCTCAGCAGCCTCCGGGGAGGGAGGGAGGCACAGCCGAAGGTAGAACCGCGCGTGCGCGGTCTGCCCGGGACCACCCCTCCCTCCCTCCGCCAGCGGGCGCGCCCATTGGTCAGTCCCCGGAGGCGTGGCCTGATAGCCAATCAGTGGCGCCCCTGCCGGGGGATGGTCAGTTTGTCCCGCCCCCCCCGCCCCATGGAGGTGGTCACTGCCCTGCTTACGCGCTCCCTGTGGCTCCCCAGTGCCTCCACCTCCCCTAGCTAGGCATTCAAGGTCCCGCAGGCGGATCGCCACATCTTCCCCCTCCCCCAAAGGCGGGGCTACTGCAGCCCCCCTCCCCAGCCCCCCCATCCCAAAGCCTTCTGGGCTCAGCTCAGGGAAGTCCTGGTGGGTAAAGTCCCTCCACCAGCGCTGGGGCAGCCTCTGTGGGCCAGCTTCTGACCAGCAGCCAGTCAGCACTGATTGATCGCCTACTGTGTGCCAGCACTGGTGATGCAGGAGAGGCTCAGGGAGCTGCCCCCTCCGTGCAGAACGTGCCCAGAGCTGGGGGGCTCCTGGCCCCCCAATACTAGGAAGCTTCTCCCAGTGTGCGGAGGTCCCCGCTCCGCCTGGGCTGGCAGGCACTACCAACGCGTTTGTTGATTGACTGATTGAGGGTAGACTGGTCTTTTGTGTCTCCCAGGCCTGCTGCAGAATGAAGGAATGAATGAATGAAGGAATGAATGTCCAGCCTCTGCCCAAGCTGCCCGCCTTGGCCCTCTCCTGGCAGCCTGGAGGAAGGGGAGGAGGAGGGAATGGCCCCCGGGCCCCCCCAGGTGAGCAGCCCCCTCTAGGGCCTCAGCGGAGGAGGCTGGGAGCATTTGAACCCAGGTCCCCCAGGGGGATGCCCCCTCTCTTTTCCAGCCCAGGTTTAGTACTGAGCTGACTGTACAGGGAGGTATGCCAAGAAGCCCCCCGAGGCCAGAGCAGCTGGTTCGGGGCCTGCCGTCCTCATGCCACCGTCCCCACACCCATTCTGCAGATGAGGAAACTGAGGCTCAGAGGAGGGTGGCTGCTAGAGCTGAGAGGGAGCTCAGAGCTCCTGCAATTTCCCCATTCCCCCCCCACACACACACACTTTTTCAAACGAGGAAGATGAGGCCAAAGTCAGTCAGTCTCACCCAGCTTTCTTATGCACCTGCTGAGGGGCGGGGTTCCTTGCCCGGGTTCCAGACCTCCCGCTCCCAGGTGAGTGTGAGAGGCCACAGGACCCACGTTCAGATCTTGGCTTGGCCATTCACCCTGTGGCTTTGGACGCACCGGGCCTCAGTTTCCCCATGTGTTAGACGAAGGGGGCCCTCGAACGCTGCAGCTCTGGGCAGGGGGCTCTGAGAAGAGGCGGTCTCCAGGCGTCTGGGGGGCTTTCGAGTCTTCCCAGTGGCCCCCTCTCTTCGGCTCCAGGCTGTAGTGGAGGCTCCAGCAGGGTCCACTTAACCCGAAAGGCTGGGCCTCGGGCCGAGATGGAAGCTGGACCCGCCCCGGCTGCAGTTGGACACCAGGTGTGAGGGGCGGTGGGGTGGGATCCCCCTCCTCGCTGTGTGTCAGATACACGGGCCGTCTGGGGGTCTAAGGAATCACACCTGAGTGTCACAGACTCGTCCGGGCTCCCGGCATCACTGAAAGTGTCTGGCGGGTCCCTCCTGCCCCCCACCCCCGACAGACGCTCCGGCCAGACCCCTGCCCGGTCTCATTGGTGGGACTGGATGACCCCTGTTGCTCTCCTCTGTGACGCCCGGGGCAGAGCTCGCACCCGCTCTGAGCTCGGAATCCTCCCCACGTTTGGCTCCAAGCCCAGGCTGGCGGCCCACGAGTGCCCCGTGTGGCCCCACCCAGCCCCTCTGATCCGTGGGCACAGCCCCCCCATACCCGGAGTGCACCCCTTCCTCACCTCTGCCTCGTGGCTTCCCGTTTCCTTCAGGGCTCAGCTCAGACACCCCTAGAGGAGCCTCTCCCTGTTTCTACCTGTACACACAGGAATGCAAACGTGCACACACACATGCATGCACACACGCACACGCACGCCCGCCCCACCTGGTGTTGCCTCTCCTGAAGTGACCATGCTTGGCTCTGCGTGTGCTTCGTGTATACGCGGGGCACAGTGGGGCTCCTCGAGGATGCGCTGTCGTCCCTCCTGGGTGTCGTCTCGGACCCCCGGGCCCCTGGTGCAGGGCCCGGCTCGGTCTGTGTTACCGTGGGGCAGGGACGGCTGTGCAGACGAGGAGAACGGCCGGAGGGGCCGGGCAGGGGCGCCCGTGCCCGCGCCGACAGGACAGAGGGCGGCTCTGGCCTCCCCGAGGATCAGAGCTGGCCCCTAAGAGCGCCGGGGTGTGGTCTTTCAGGAGCCGGTGACGTTCAGCGACGTGGCCGTGGACTTCACGGCGGAGGAGTGGGGACGGCTGGCCCCTGCCCAGAAGGAGCTGTACCGGAGCGTGATGCTGGAGAACTACCGCAACCTGGTGTGCCTGGGTGAGGAGGCTGCCCCGGGAGGCTGAGGGGCGGCAGAGGCCAGGCCAGGAGGCCAGGGGCCTGGCACCTGCAGGGCTTGCCCCCACCCCCGCCCTTTGTCCCACATTCGCTGCCCCAGAAGTCCGAGTGCAGAAGCTGAAGACTTCACGGGGGCCGAGCCTTTAGCAGGGAGCTCGGATCCAGCGCCAGCGGCTTTTCCTCCCCATTCCTCCCCAGCTGCCCTGGAGCACATGCTGAGGGCCCTTCGCAAGCCCTGAGCCCCCGGGCCGTTCAGGAGGGGGCTGGGCTGTCTGCTGCACCGCTCCCTGCCCCCAGCACGTGCCCATTTCCACCGAGCAGGCCTGGCAGCGTCCAGCCCAGAGGTGATTGGTCAGCTGGAGCGAGGGGACGGACCGTGGAGGCTAGAAGGAAAAGTCCAGAAAGGCCTTTGTGCAGGTGAGTCAGACCAGCAGAGGCGCCAGCCCGTGGAGGCCAAGCCAAGGAGGAGACGTGGGCAGTGGGGCCAGGGAGCTCTCCTCAGAGCAGCCCAGGCTGGGGAGGGCCTGGTGGGCTCCTGGGAGGTGCCTGCTCTTATCTCTCGTTCACCCTCCCTCTGTCCTCCCTCTGTCCCCGCTCTGTCCCTCCCTCCTTCCTCTCTCCCTCCCTCCTCCCTCTCTCCCTCCTTCCTCTCTCCCCCCCTCCCTCCTTCCCTCCTCCCCTCCTCAGCCTCCTGCTCTTTCCATCAGCCCTGTTTCCACGTCCCTCCATCCAGGTCCAGTGGGGGATGGCCCTTTCTCTGGGCCCAGCCCCTTCCTGGCTCACTGCCTTTGTTGTCATGTTGAACACATACGGGAATTTTAAGAAAACCTCTTTCATGCTTCTACATGCTTTTTTGCTCTTTGGCTTCTGTTGACTTTTAAAACTCTCCCATACGCTCCCTCGTCTCCTCCCGAGCTGCCACCCTCATCCCTCAGGCCTGCACTACTGCAGAGGCTGCTGGGGGGTCTGCCTGCCTCAGTCTCTCCCCCTCCAGTCCATCCTCCAAAGGGATTTCCTCAAGCACAAGTCTGATCACGTCACTTCCCTCCTCCGTAAACTCCAGGTGGCCTCGAGGAGCAAATACCCAGTGCTGTGTTTGGCCTCCTGAGCCCTTTCTGACCCAGCCCCCTCCCGGTGTCCCCCCATGCCCTGTCCTTCCATCTGGTGACCCCAAGCCCCTCCCATCTCTAGGCTCATGCATTCTCCCTGACTGTCCCCTGCCTAGAACGCCCTCCCTCTTCCACCAGGCTTCCTCTAAGTCCCACCTAAGATCCCACCTCCTTTAGGAAGCCTTCCCTGGCCCCTCCTAATTCCAGGCCTTCTCCTATTTAGCCTGCCTAGAGCTTGTCTGCACACATTTAGGGCAGGGCTTGTCTTCCTTTGTCTCTCCTGTACTTCTCATCCCCCCGTTTTGGGGGGGGGGGGGGGGGGGGGGGAGACTGCTCAGTCCTGATGGGCCAACATCACTGTCCTCCTGTGGTCAGCTTCTGTGCGCTCTGCACCAGAGCACACAGATCACGCCGCGCCTCCATACATCAGCTCCTGGGGGGAGGCAGGCATCCATCCCTTTCACACACCCATTCTACGTAGGGGTTCTGGGATCTCATTAATTTAGTGATCACAGTCTATCCCTGCCCACTCTGGATGAGCCCTCATGTGGGAGCCACGACCACCTTGGTCAGCCCTTGACATGAGACGGGCGTCCACGGGCAGTGCCTGTCCTCTTTTCTGCTGGTCTTGCCTTCTTCATTTTCTCGATGACGGTGTGCTTTGTCTAGCTCTTTGAAGATCCGACTTTGTCATTTGGTGATGCCTGCCATCTCTGTCACCAGGGGCCCCTTTTCCATTGTGGCCCAGGGTGATGCTCCTATCGCTAGGCACTGCCTGGGTTTTTAAGTTCATACTGTTGAGCATATTTTCTTAGAGATGGGACCTTTTTCTTTGACCATATGGGCCTCCAGTGGGGAATGGGATTGCTGGGTCAGCGATAGGGGCAGTTGAGGAACTTTTCTCATGTAATTGCCCTGCATTTTTCAGAATTGTTGAATCATTTCACAACTTCGCCAACATCAGTATGGGCCTGTCTTCCCAAGGGCCCTTTAACATTGGTCCTTTCCATCCCATGTTTGATTGTGTTGTGGAACCTTGGAGTTTTCACTGTTCTTAATAGCGATGTGGAACAGTCTTTCATAAGACTGACAATTCTTTTCAAAAACGTTTGTTCACGCCCTTTGAGCACTTATTTGCCAAATGGATCGTGGCCTTGTAAATTTTTGTCATTTACTTACATATCTTGAATAACAGATGCTTATCAGAGATACATGAAGGAAATATTTTTCTCATTTGTCTTTATTTCTAGCAACATCGACTAAGTACAAAAGCCTTTTTTTTTTTTTTAAATTATAGTCTTTGCTTTATTTATTTTAGGCCCTGGGTGTCAAAATCAAAACTTATTTGTTTGAAGAATTTCTGTCAAAGAATTTTTTTAAAGTTTTCAACATTCAATTTTATAAGATTTTGAGATCCAAATTTTTTCTCCCTCCCTCCCCTCCCCCTCCCCAAGATGGTGTGCAATCTGATATAGACTGTACATGTACAGTCATGTTAAACATTTCCACATTGGTCATGTTGTGAAAGAAGAATCAGGACAAAAGGGAAAAATCATGAGAAAGAAGAAACCAAAAAAAGAGCAAATAGAAAGCTTTGCTCTGCGTTCGGACTCCGTGGTTCTTCTCTGGAAGTGGATAGCATCTCCATCGTGAGGCTTTTGGAGCTGTCTCAGATCCTTGCATTGCTGAGAACAGCCCGGTCCGTCAGAGTTGGTCATCTCGTAGGGATGCTCTGACTGTGTACCATGTTCTGCTCACTTCACTCTGTGTTCACGCAAGCCTTCCCAGGTTTTTCCAAGAGGATCCTGCTCATCGTTTACAGAACAGTTGTATTCCATTACATTCATGTAGCACAGCTTGTTCAGCCATTCCCCAGTTGATGGGCATCCTTTCTGTTTCCAATACTTGGCCACCATAAAAAGAGCTGCCATAAATATTTTTGTACATGTGGGTCCTTTCCCCATTTGTATGACCCCTTTGGGATGCAGACCTAGAAGTGCTATTGCTGGGTCAAAGGGCATGCACATCTTCATAGCCCTGTGGGCACAGTTCCAAGTTGCTCTCCAGAATGGCTGGATCAGTTCACAACTCCACCAACAATGCATCAGTGTTCCAGTTTCCCATATCTTCTCCAGCATTCATCATTTCCAAAAGCCTTTTGTGATCCTCGTCTGTCCCTTGCTTGGTAACAACTAACTGTAGTTGTGAAAGCTCTTTCCTCTTGTTCATCTTTAGTATTTTTATGATGTCACTTTCTGAATTTAGATTGACTGTCTCATCGTGTCTTACTATGTTGTAATAATAATGATAGCTCCCATTTACATAGAACTTACAGGTTTTCACAGTGTTTTACAGAGATCCTCACAACAAACCTGTTGGGTAGGTGCTGTTAGTGTCTTTATTTTACATAAGAGGAAACTGAGACAGATAGTGGGTAAGTGACTCGCCCCACGTCACACAGCTAGGAAGCATCTGAGGCCAGATCTGAACCCAGGCCTTCCTGATTCTAGGCCCATCTAGCTGCCTGTAGGTTATACAGCGTCTCAAGCTGGTTTAGACCTGTTTTCTGCCAAACTGCTTCTCAGTTCTCCTAGACGTTCTTTTGGTTTAAAGAGCCCTTTCAAGAGGCACCTACCAAGAACTGCTGTGCCAAACACTGTGTTGAGGGCTGTGGACACAGCCCCTGCTCTGAGGGCGCTCTCAGTCCGACGAGAGAGACCACGGCATGTCACCGCATGTGTTTAGGATGCGTAGAGAGGAGACGGACTGCGCTCTGAGGAGGAGGCACTTTTAGGGCAGCGTCACTGGTAAAGTGCTCGTGAGCTGGGTCTTGAGGGAAGGGAAGGGGCAGAGGCGTAGGGAGAGCACTCCAGGCACGGCAGCAGCCAGCACAAAGTCGGGAAGACGGAGATGGCGCATGTGCGCGAGGAGCGAGACATAGTTCGGTGTGACTCGACATGGACGGAAGCGTGTAGAAAGACCAGGCAGCTAGGGATGGCCGGGTTGCAAAGAGCTTTAAATGCCCAGTACAGAATTTTACATTCGATCGTAGAGTTTGCTGTGTGGGGATAGCATGGTCAGACCTTCACTTAGGAAAACCACTCGGATGGGGCTGGTCCTTTGTTCTCGAAGATGGCCAAAACGACATCTCTGTGTTGGGGTCGAGGTCCAGTGCGTCCAGCTGTGGCTGATCAGACCAGTTCGAGTTTGGAAGGCTCTACCACGGGTACAGCACAAATAGTCTACATGAAAATTCCGAGTGGATTCTCTAAACGTGTGCACCTCACGTTTCTTTTGAGCTTCTGTAATTCTGCTTTGGTCACAGAGCAAAGCGCCTTCTCTGATGAGGGCACGCCAAGCTGGGCAGTCCTGCGCCGGTGTCTGTCACGTCTCACATCTGATTCCAAAGTTCTTTAGAGAGACTTGAGAGTGTCCTTGTATCACTTCTTCTAGCCTCTGTGTGGGGACTTGCCATGTGTGAGTTCTCCATAAAATAAACTTTTAGGCAAATGTTCATTTAGCATTTGAACAACATGGCCAGCCCTTCGGGAATCGCGCTCTCTGCAGTAGAGTTTGAATGCTTGGTAGTTTGGTGCGAGAAAGAATCTCAGTGTCTGGTATGTCATCCTGCCAAATGATCTTCAGGAATCTTCCTAAGACAATTCAAGTGGAAGTGATTCCATTTCCTGGCATGGCGCTTGTAGACTGTCCGGGTTTCACAGGCATACGGCAATGAGGTCAGCACAATGGCTCTGTAGACCTTCAGTTTGGTGGTCAGTCTAATACCTCTCCTGTCCCACACCTGTCTTCGGAGCCTCCCAAACGTGGAGCTAGCTCTGGCAATGCATGTATCAACCTCATTATCTATGTGTACATCTCTGGAAAGTACACTGCCAAGGTGAGTGAACTTAACCCACAGCATTCCAAACATCTCCGTTTGCTGTAACCAGGAATTCCACATATGGCTGGTGTGGTGCTGGCTGATGGAGCCCTGTGTTTTCTTGGTGTTGATTCTTAGGCCAAAATTAGCACAGGCAGCAGGGAATCGATCCATACTTTGTTGCATCTCAGCTTCATAGGCTGCATTGAGTGCACAATCATCTGCAAACAAAAAATCATGCACCAACTCTCCTTCCACTTTAGTCTTGGCTTGTAGCCCTTTTCAAGTTCAATAACTTACTAGCATGCAGTAGCTGCCCATGATGCCATTTTTGTCCTTGTTGAAAGTGTTCAATGACATTGCTGACAACATTGTGCTAAAACCATGGGAGCACGCACACAGCCCTGCTTCACTCCATTGGTGACTGG